AAGCCCTAGGGCGGCTTCTGTAGCGCTAGTGAAGCTTCTGGTTCTGGTCACATACATTGTTCAGTTTGTGAAAACTCGTGGAAACGGACATCTCTCACCCCTGGATGTGTGACTGTGTATATGCAATACTTTTTTTCTTTTCTTTTTTTAAATTTTCTTTTTTAGATTTATTTATTTAGTTGAAAGGCATAGACACAGAGAAAAAGAGAGAGAGAGAGAGATCTTCCATCTGCTGGTTCACTTCCTAAATGACCACAACAGCCAGGGCTGGACCAAGCTTAAACCAGGAGCCAGGAGCTTCCTCCAAGTCTCTCATGAGGGTGGCAGGGGCCCAAGCACTTGGGCTATCTTCCGCTGCATTCCCAGGTGCATCAACAGGGAGCTAGATTGGAAGTAGAGCAGCTGGGACTCAAACCGGCATGCTGGCCCTGCTTGAAGAGGCTTAACCCTCTACGCCACACTGCTGGCCCCTGTAATATATACTTTAATAAAAATATTTCACTGATAATTTAATGGGCATCAACTCTGTGCCAGTCCCTAGTCTAGCTTCTAGGGATGGAAGAGTGAAAAAAATGAGGCCTTGAAGATTTCATTCTATTTTGGAAACTGGTAGAGGAGGAAGATTGACAACAAACAATAATTTAAAATTTACATATGACCTATTAGCAACTGACAAGTAGAATGGAAAAAAGGGAAAGTAAAACAGATGACAAGGGATCAGGGGGATTCAGGATGTGAGAGAAGTAGGAGGTAGAGGCAAAAAGGCTCACTGAGAAAGTGACTAACAATGAGCGACAACTTCCAGATGCGAGGGTGAGCCATGTGCGTTTCTCAGGGGAAGAGTCAATGGAATACAGGGAAAAGGCAGCAGAAAAGCCACAAGGTAGAGAGAAAATCAGACAGCAGGGAGCGAGCCTACCTAGGTTAAGTGATTAACCTAGGTTAATTCTGGCTTGGGGGCCAGAATTGTAGTGCAGTGGGCTAAGTCACTGCGTGCAGTGCTGACGTCCCACATCAGAGCTGCAGTTTGAGTCCCAGCTGCTCCACTGCCAATGCAGCTTTATCCTGATGGGCCTGGGAAAGCAGCGGAAGGTGGCCCAGATACTTGGGCCCCTGCCACCCATGTGGGAGACCTAGATGGAGTTCCTGGCTCCTGCTTCAGCCTGATCTAGGCCTGGTCATTGTGAGCATTTGAGGAGTTAAACCAGCGGATGAAAGAGCTCTCTCATTCTCTGTCTCTTCCTCTGCCTTTCAAATAAATAAGTAAATAAATATTTTTAAAATGCAGTCCCCTTTTCATTTATTTATTTATCTGAAAAGCATAGTTACAGAGAAGGAGAGAGAGAGAGAGAGAGAGAAAGAGAGAGAGAGAGAGAGAGAGAGAGAGAGAGAAGTCTTCCATCCACTGGTTCACTCCCCAGTTGGCCACAATGGCCGGAGCTGTGCTCCTGATCTGAAGTCAGGAGCCAGGAGTTTCTTCCAGGTCTCCCATGCAGGTGCAGGGACCCAAGGGGTTGGGCCATCTTCTTCTTTCCCAGGCCATAGCAGAGAGCTGGGTTGGAAGTGGAGTAGCCGGGACTAGAACCAGTGCTGTATGGGATGCCTTCAGGCCACTAAGGGCATATGGGGAGTGAACCAGTGGATGGAAAATCTCTCTTTCAAATAAGTAAATAATAATAAAATAATAAATAGGCTACCTTAGTACAAATAACTAAAAAAAAAAACCCTCAGAATCCTGAGTTTTTAAAAAATTTTTTAGGTCCATAGTTTCTTCCTTCTTTCTTTCTTTCTGATTTATTTATTTATTTGAAATTCAGAGTTACACAGAGAGAGAGGAGAGAGAGAGAGAGAGAGAGAGAGAGGGAAGTCTTCCATCTGATGGTTCACTCCCCAATTGGCTGCAATGGCCAGAGCTGCGCCAATCCGAAGCCAGGAGCCAGGAGCTTCCTCCAGGTCTCCCACACAGGTGCAGGGGCCCAAGGACTTGGGCCATCTTCTACTGCTTTCCCAGGCCATAGCAGAGAGCTGGATTAGAAGTGGAGCAGCTGGGACTTGAACGGGTGTCCATGTGGGATGCTGGCACTATAGGAGGTAGCTTTACGCACTGTGCAACAGCAACTAGTTTTTTGCCTTTTTTTTTTTTTTTTAGAGAGAGATTTATTTATTTATTTGAAATGGAAGGAGAGAGAGAAAGGGAGAAAGAGAGAGGGGGGTGGGAGAGAGAGAGAGAGAGATCTTCCATCTACTTGTTCAGTCCCCAAAAGGCTGCAACCAGACAGAGGCTGGAGCAGGCTGAAGCCAGAAGCCTGGAATTTCATTTGGGCCTCCCATGTGGATGCAGGGGTCCAAGCACTTGGGCCATCTTTCACTGCTTTCTCTGGTGCATTAGCAGGGAACTAGATCAGAAGTGGAGCACCTGGGACTTGAACCACCATTGGCATTGCTGGCAGTGGCTTAATCCACTGTGCCACAATACCAGCACCTGAACTAGATTTGCAAGACTGCTGTCAGCTAAGATGGCAAAGAGTGTGGGTAGAGCAGATCCTGAGGGCCTGGAAATCAACGTTTTGGACACAATGAACTGAAATAACACCAAGAGGAGGGGCAGCATTCTGGTGCAATGGGTTAAGCCAGCCTTGTGATGCTGCCATCGCATATCAGAGCTCCGGTTCTAGTCCTGGTTGCTTCACTTATAATTTAGTTCTTCGTTGATGCACTTGGGACAGCAGCAGACAATAGCCCAAGTGTTTGGGCCCCTGCATTCATGTGGGAGACCTGGATTTGAGTTCCTGGCTCCTGGCTTCAGAGTGGCCCAGCCCCAGCTGCTATGGCTACTTGGGGAGTGAATCAATGAATGGAAGACCTACCTCTCTCTGCCATGCTATCTCTCCTTCTCTTTCACTCTGCCTTTAAAATAAAAATAAATCTTTTTTAAAAATAACACTTAGGCATTGTTGACTAGCAAATATCTATCTTTACCACAGACCTGTCTCCTGAACTCCAGACTTGTAAAATACACATAATACACAGAAGTGCTATTCTAAAAATAATCTATTTCATTTTTATTTGAGATAGAGAAATCTTCCATCTACTGTTTCACTCCCCAAATGTTTAGAACAGCTAGGGCTGGATCAGGTTGAAACCAGGAGTCTAGAACCCAACCTAGATGTTCCTACCTGGGTAGCAGGGGCCCAAGTATATGAGCCATCATCTGCTGCTTCCCAGGGCGTGCGTTAACAGGGAGCTGGAATTAGGAGAGCTGAGACGGAACCACTGCAACACGGGGTGTGGGTCTCTTGTTTAAACTGAGACAGCGTGTTCTTGATAATTCAGTTTTGGTAGAGGGTGGATGTGATGTCTTCTCTGCAGTGGGTTTAAGAGTGAGCCTAAGGAGAAAACTTCAGAGAAAGTACGGCTAGCTCCCACAAGAAACACGGCTGCAAAGGAGGGTGTGTGTGTGTAAAGGGGTGTCACAGCTAGTTAGGGAGAGAAGGAAATCATTTGAAAGTTTGGGAAATGAACTCACTCTGAATCTTAGCCTCAGGTTAGAATTCTTAACTGGTTCCTGCAAATTCTTCTGCCTTCATTGCCAATAGACTGGCCATACCAGCCTCAGAGCTGATGCCCAAACCCACGCCTTTCCCCGTTTGTTCACTGAGCCTGAGATGCACACTTGCTCCTCAAACCTAGCTAGGCTCTAACCAGTTCATCAGTGAGTTTTTCTAGAAGCATTCCTAACCCTCCCCAGGCATGTTGTATTGTATTCCTCTATATGAAGGCGTTCTGGTGCCTTCACAACTCAGTTGTTAAACGATTTGCTGGATGGGGCCAGGTCTGACGGAAGCAGAGGATTCTTCCGTCGATAAGCAACAAAGGAGAGAAAGCAGTAGTGCATTTCGTGAACTGACCCATTGTTAAGGGAATACAAATAGCCAGTAATACCAAATACAAGTCTACTCATGACATTTGTTATAAAAATGTCCGTTTAGGTCACTGGTTGCCGATATTTTGACGAACGGGCTGTTCCTAGTCTATTTTTTGTTCGATGATTTGCATGCATTAATGCAAACAAATGAAACTAGGCCGAGAAGGACTACACTGAGGGTGCCATGATTCGCCCCCCGACCCCGGCATTGGCCTGTCTAGCCACCTCATTTGCATGACGTGATTTAGTAAGCACAGGCCCCACCCCTCCGGGGTTTTCACCTCTCGCGTAAAGACGCGTGAGCTGGGACTCTGCCCCGGTCTACGTAAGCCCCGCCTCCCGGTAGCTAATCCCTCCCGTCCACCGCCGTCTTCTCGTCGGGTCTCCTCGGCTGAAAACACTGTATCGTTTCCTTCCACTTTCAGCGTCCTTACGTCTCCGCTCCCATATTTCCACGAACGCACGACGCACGCCCCGCCTCTTTCTCCCACCATTCGTCGTGTAAATTCTGCGTCCCAACCGCCCGGCCGACCGGCGTCGAATTCCCACCCCCTCTGCACGTCTCAACGGCCGACGCCGGTGGCCCGCCTCCTCAGCCAACCGGCGTCCCAGCGTCTGTAAGTCCCTCCTCTTTATGCAAATACCCTCTGCATGCTCTGCACGCCCTGCCTTTTTTTTTTTTTTAAAAAAAGGATAGTCTTGGAAGTAAAGAGGGGTAGGATAGAGAGCGCCCCGCCCTTTATGCAAATAGAGGGGCGTGTCTAGGCTCGAAGGGAGGCGGGAGGTGGGGGGGCGCTCCCGGGGGCGGCGGTTGCCCGGATGGGCCGTTAGTCGGAGCCCAGCCGCGGAGTGAGCGAGGGAGACGGGAGGAGCCGAACCCGGCGCCATCCGCCGCCATCCGCCCCCGCCCCACCGCCATCCCGCCCCGGGGAGCCCCTAAGCCCCGGTCCCGAACCCTTGCGCACCCGGCCAGGTGAGTATGGGCGAGCCGAGCGCTGACGCCCTTTTCCGGCGCGGAGCGGCGGTGGCGGCGGCGACGGCGGCGGCAGCGGCGGCGGCGGCGGTGGCGGTGGCGGGCCGGGCCGGGGGGGAGGAGAAGCTGCCATTAGCCGCCGCCATTTTGTCCTCCTGCTGCCGGGCCTGACTGCCCCTCCCCCTCCGGGACCTCTACCCCGGGACCCGCAGCTCCAGCTCCTCTCGCAGGGTCTGCAGCCTAACCTTGCCCACTCACGACCCTGGCTTCAAGGCGCGACCCCCCTCTCTGAGCCCGTACTTCCCCACCCCCCGCTGCGCTCCTGGCTCCTCACCTCCATCTGTTGACCCGCTTCCCCTCGGTCGCCTCCCTGGGGTGGGCCGCGCCCGAGGGTCCTCCTCTCAGACGGTCTCTTTTCCTCCATGTTGGGCCCCTTCGCATCTCCCGGCGCTAGGGTTCCCCCTTCTTGGCACCGCTCTCTGCGTCGAGTCACTCCCCCCGGGACCCTGCTCTCACCCAGCATCATCGTTCTGCATTCCTCGATCCTCCCCCTGCCGTTTCATTCCCCCCATTCCTTGTCCTCGCCTTTCTCCCGCGACTCCCTTTTTCTTCCTGGTCTCTTGACACTGCCCCCTTACTTTTGTGGGGCTCTGCATCCTGTCTGCCATTCCTGCCTCATGTATTTCCCACCTGCTTCCTTACGCTCTTGTTTGCACCAGCCTATTCGCTCCTCCACCCTCCTGTTCCCTTCTCCTGTACTTACGTTCCCAGATTGAGCTCCTCAGACATTTACAAAGCGAGCCCCCATCGCCTCATCTCTAGCCGTGAACTTCTCTCCCCGATTTCGGCTTTCATCCTGGGTTTGTCTGGATCTCCCTGCCATTTCTCACCTCGTTTCCTTTACACTATTACTCAGAAATGAATGCTCGTTCTAGAATGGACTCCGGATGGAGAGCTTTGGCCTGCTCGGGGCGAGGGGGTAATTGGGGCAAGAATGACCGCCGAGGGGAGTTTTTACCGATAGGGAAATGGGAGTTGGTTCTGGTGTGAGGCCTGAGGTTACCGAGTGCTGTCGAGGTGGATCTGTAATGCTTTGTTTTTCTCAATTCTGTGTCTGAGAACCCAGAATTTCTATAGAGACAGGATTGTTTTTTCCAGGAGCTGAGATGGGAGCAAGTTGAGAGAAAGATTGGTTATTTCAAAACTTGGGCTTCTGCAATCCGGGTCTGTGTAAGCCACTGTTTGTTTCATGAGGGTTTCTCTGGCACCAGCTCCTAGTCTGACTGAGCAAGCTCATAAAATCTTTTAAACTCCCAGCATACCTTCCTGCAAACCTTCCCAGATGGGACTTAAGGCTGCTGGGAGTGGAACCTGGGGCACAGGGCCCTGGGGCATGATTAGGGAGCTGGTGTCTAACAAGTAGGGCTATATAAAGCGCTCCTCCTGACATGATGGAGTTGTGTGCCTGCCTCTTTCTGCTTTTTTCCTGGGAGTTGGATTTGCCTGCCCTGTTTTATTGTAGGTCTCTGACATGATTTTGGTTGAGAGAGAAGAGATGACTGGGGGTAACGAAGAGAACACTGCCCTTTACGGATGGGCACCGAGGGCGGCATGTTTGTATTAGGAGGATACTAGATTTTTATTTGGCTTCCTTGGCAAGAAATGTCTGGGGGAAAGGGAACATGGCAGTTGGGCCTTGTGGGAGCTGAGGGACTGGGGCTGGAGTACATAGGCTGGAGGAGAAGATGCCAGAGGGTCACAGGCTGCGTCCTTAATGAGAATGAGAGGCTTCTGTTCTAGTTGTCTGTAAAGGGGGCAGAGACAGACACTTGTCTGGCCCACAGGCTCCGGCACGTTTTGGGGGAGGAGCCTGCAGGACCCAACGTACTCAATGAGCTTCCAGCGCAATGTCCGATCGCTCGGGGCCGACTGCCAAGGGGAAGGATGGAAAGAAGTATTCCTCGCTCAACCTGTTTGATACGTATAAGGGCAAGTCCTTAGAGATCCAGAAACCCGCTGGTGAGGGTCCTGCAAAGATGCTCCTATGTTTGGAGGCTAGGCGTGGACGGGGCATGTGTTTGAGAGCTCTCTGCGGGGGAATTGCTACAGTAGAGATACCACAAGATTGGAGGGACCCTGGAGATCTCCCGGCTTTGGGTCCAGGAGGGGGACTGGGCTCTGGGCGAACACCAGTTATCCTCCTACAAAGGCGTGTCTGTGGTTCCCAGTCTCTGGACACGTAAGAACTGGAGGCAAAGCGATGTGGACTTGGGGGAGTTCTGGAGCCAGCTTGCTCCCCGCAGGCTCAAAACCAACCATCCCACATTGAAGCATTGGATGTAATGTATTTCATCCTTCCTGATAGGGGTTTCAGAGTTTATCAAGTGCAGGGGAAGGGGATGACTTCCGGTAATAAGACACTGAGGGTGTCTAAACTGGGCCTAGTGTGGGAGGCTGTCAGATCTCTCAGGTGAGGCATTTTTGACCCATCTCTCCACCTTTTCTCCAGTTGCCCCTCGCCATGGCCTGCAGAGTCTCGGGAAAGTTGCCATTGCCCGGCGTATGCCACCCCCAGCCAACCTTCCAAGCCTGAAAGCCGAGAACAAAGGCAATGACCCGAATGTCTCACTAGTGCCGAAAGACGGAACAGGATGGGCAAGCAAACAGGAGCAGTCCGACCCCAAGAGGTAGACGACCTTGGGGACACCTGGAGTGATGGTATTGTAACTTTGAACTTCAGGGTGAATTGGAGTGGGCTTGGTCCACATTAAGAGCCAGAGAGAAAGGGAGGCCCCTTTCTTACCCATCCCAGGTTTAGATGATTCTAGAATTGTACCTTCAGTTTTCTGTTAGATGGAGTGAAAGCGTGAGGAAGCAGCAGCCTCTACAGGGTGACAACGTATTTCGTCCGAATGTTTGTCACTGGGAGCGATGGGTCAGGGTCCAGTCCCTACCAACGCCAGTTGGAGAAGTGGGGTGGGCTTTTTAGGCTCCGGATAACCTTTGCATTATGCTGTCCCCTCAGTTCCGATGCCTCAACCGCTCAGCCGCCGGAATCGCAGCCACTGCCGGCTTCACAGACGCCTGCCTCCAACCAGCCGAAACGACCCCCAGCAGCCCCCGAGGTACCTGGAGAACTGGAAGGCTGGGAGGAAGAATGGGTCGTAGCTCCTCCACCTGTATCACCATTTAACCCCTCTCTGCTTCCCCAGAACACTCCTTCGGTTCCAAGCGGGGTAAAGTCCTGGGCGCAAGCCAGCGTCACCCATGGAGCACATGGAGATGGTGAGTGCTGGGCACCGTGGGAGGCAGGCGCCCTGCACTCTCTCTTCAGTAAAGGGTCCTCAGTCCTCTGGCTAAATCTTAGCTCCCATGTTTAGTGTTGTGGGACACGTGAGCAAGTTTAAGTCTCTTGGTTTTATATGAGGGGGTGGAGGGGTCCCAGAACTAACCTTGTGTCCTGGGGGATGAGCACTTACTCCATAGAGGTGGAGTCTGAGGCATGCATCCTGGCACTTTAGTGATGTGTCCTCAGTACATGCACTTTTCTCTCTTGTTCTGCACCCCCATCCTCACAGGTGGAAGGGCATCAAGCCTACTGTCACGATTCTCTCGAGAGGAATTTCCGACCCTGCAGGCGGCTGGCGACCAGGACAAGGCTGCCAAGGAAAGGGAGTCTGGCGAACAGTCGTCTGGGCCCGGACCAAGCCTCCGCCCCCAAAGTAAGTGGCTGCCTTTTGGACTAGACAGTACCTATTCCCTCTCAGAGTGTTTTTTTATTCCCCTTTCTCTGCCACGGTTTTCACTGTGTTCACTTGTCCCTGAAGCAACTGATAAATCTCTCTGCTTTTTCCAAAACGTAGATTCTACAACCTGGAGGGACGGAGGTGGGCGTGGCCCTGATGAGCTGGAGGGCCCGGACTCCAAACTTCATCATGGTCATGATCCCCGGGGCGGGCTGCAGCCCTCGGGCCCACCTCAGTTCCCTCCCTACCGCGGAATGATGCCGCCCTTTGTGAGTTTGGATGTCTGGTTTTGGAGGGGTTTGTACTGGAAGCTAGGGAACAGGAATTGGGACTTCATTGTTAGCGCTGAAAAGCAGGCACCTAAGTGATCTAGGTAGATGGGACATGATAGCAGGCTGGCAGCACTAGCGGGCTGCTTGACTCTCCCCTCTGAGCACCTGCTCTTGGGCCCTTTTGCAGATGTATCCCCCATATCTCCCGTTCCCTCCGCCCTATGGACCCCAGGGGCCTTACCGATATCCTACTCCTGATGGGCCCAGGTGAGCGATCCAGGTCTGGGTTGTGGTTGGGGGGCAGGGCAAGCCTGTTGGGGAGGTAATGGTTTCTTTCTAGCCAGGAGGTGTAGTCTTGTATGGGCTGTACAACATGTTGTCTTGTTCCTCTTCTCTGCCATTTGCTTTTCTGCACGCAGCCGTTTTCCCCGTGTGGCGGGCCCCCGAGGCTCAGGGCCGCCCATGCGCCTGGTGGAGCCTGTAGGTCGGCCTTCTATTCTTAAAGAGGATAATCTCAAAGAGTTTGACCAGTTGGACCAGGAGAATGATGATGGTTGGGCAGGTAGGTGAATAGGCAACAACATTTGGATTTTAAAAGACAAAACTCAGATAAGGAAGAAAGGGAGGGTTTGTATGGGAGGAAAGCATCCAGTGAAGGGTTGAGAGGAACTTAAGTTCTGGCAAAATATTGGGGGTAAGTGAAAGGCATCAGAGTTGGTGCGTCTAGACTTGGGAGGGGGGCGGTGTTGGCATTAGTAGTGTGTCCCATCATGTGGTTCTGGACAGTTGTTTTTGTGTCTCAGGAAGACACTTGACAGAATAGAATGTTTGGGTTACTGTTCTTAATTTTTCTCCTCAGGGGCCCATGAGGAGGTCGACTACACTGAAAAGCTCAAGTTCAGCGATGAGGAAGATGGGCGAGACTCTGATGAGGAGGGAGCTGAGAGCCAGTGAGTTAGGGCCCTTGGGATTGGAGGGGCTTAGTTTTTCTCACAGTAATGTACTCTTCAGAGGAGCTGGGTTTTAATTCCACTTTTGATCTGCTCACAGCAAGGATCCCCAGTCAGCTGCTGGTGAGGAACGGCCCCCCGAAGCAGATGGCAAAAAGGGCAGCTCCCCTGGAAGCGAGCCGCCCCCTCCCAAGACGGCCTGGGCAGAGACCTCGCGGCCAACAGAGACAGAGCCGGGGCCTCCTGCCCCAAAGCCTCCCCCACCCCCACCTCACCGGGGCCCCGCCGGGAACTGGGGCCCCCCTGGAGAC